TCCATCACCACCTTGGCCTACTCCATCGGACACTACAGCGGCGGGCACCTCAACTGCGCCGTGACCCTTGGCCTGGTCCTCACCGGCAACTGCCACGCGCTTCAGGGGCTCTTCAACTTCGGCTCTCAGATGATGGGCTCCATCCTTGGGGCCGCCATCCTCTGCGCGATCTTCCCCCCGGAGCTGGACATGACGAAGAGCCTGGGGGCCAACAGCGTGGGCCTGAAGTGGCACTGGTGGAACGCCCTCATCGGCGAGGTCTTTGGCACCTTCCTCCTGGTCTTCGTGGTTTTGCAAACGGCCTGCAACCCAAAGTCGCAGATGAACCGCAGCCAGGCCTGCCTGGCCATCGGCCTCGCCGTCTTCATGGCCCACTGTGTGCTGATCCCCATCGGCGGCTGCTCCATCAACCCCACACGCTCCTTCGGCCCGGCTCTTTTGTCCCTCAGCCGCCTGGAGGCCCCGAAGGCCGTGGAGCCCGTGGCCACGATGCTCGGCGAGCCCGCGCTGGGGGAGGTCGCCTCTCCAAAGGCAGCGGAGAGCGTGGACGCGTCTGCCGGGCCCGGCTACTGGCGCAGCATGTGGATCTTCTGGCTCGGCCCGCTCCTGGGAGCATGCCTGGCCGCTTTCGTCTACAAGGCCATGCTCCTGCTGGACGCCGCCCACGAGCAACACACCCTGAAGCATCACCCGGGCTACAGGCGCCGGCAGACGCTCATCGAGCACTTCACCCCCGCAGATCCGGAGGCCGCCGCAAGACCCCTTAATTAAGGAGTATACCTTAAACTTAAACCATAGTCTTAAGGCCCCTATATAATTGAAGGCATATATCCCTCAATTAAGGGGTAACTTGGGCTCTCTGATATTTTTCCCCCGCAGCTCCCGAGGCCGCCGCCGGACCGGTTCTCTTGGGCAGCCACGGTCCGAGGGAGGGCAAGGACGCCGCGGCCAGGGCGGAGAGCAGCGCCTAGCAAAGCATAGCAAAGCATACCCAGAGAGCCCAATACCCCCTTAATTAAGGAATAGACCTTAAGGCATATTCCTTAATTAAGGTATATTGGGCTCTCTGGGCATAGCATCAAAGCATAGCAAAGCTCAGAATCTGAGCCTTTCGTGCAGGCCGGTATTTGTTTGCTCGGTCTGCAGTTTTGTGACCCCTAACTTCGACCCCCCCGACAAGTTGACAAGTTTAGTTGCCTCTGCATCTGAGTCCCACAAGTGGCTCAGCATTCCTACTGGGTGGGATTTTCTGCCCCAAACTACGTAACCTCAGCCATATCTCATCGTCTCAGCTGCTGACGACTGATGAGTTCAAGACGCGAGAGGAAGCGCCGAAGCTTTAAAAGAACAGGGTACCATGCGAGGATGACCGTTCCCAGAGAACCCAATACCCCTTAATCAAGGAATCTTTACCTTAAATCATAACATGATAAGGCCCCTACAATTTCAAGATAGTTGGATTTTCCTATATTTTGGGCCCACCAATGCAGCGAGTTCAGCGTCGAAGGCGCCCGAACCGAAGGAGCGCGGCCGGGCACCTGGCATGACGAGAGGATCTTCAGAGATTCGTCTTCATTTCGATTGTCATGACTACCCAGAGAACCCAATACCCCTTAATTAAGGAATATGCCTTAAATTATAGGGGCCTTAATATTATGATTTAAGGTATATCTCTTAATTGAGGGGTATTGGGTTCTCTGGGTAGTCACTGCTATACATTTCATTATGATGTGATGGCCGCTGCTACCTGGACCGATTGTACTTGGAATGTTCTCTGCTGCTACCTGGAGTACCTTTTTCTGAGCTGGAATGCTTCGGTTGCATGGTTGCGACAGGAATTGTGCGGAGTTCGACGACTTCTGCCAAAAGCACCATTGCCAGCCTCCATCATCATCATCATCTTCATCATCATCATCATCATCATATTCTTCTTCTTCTTCATCATCGCCATCATAATAATAATGATAATCATCATGATCTGTGTCATCATCATCATCATCATCATCGTCATCATCGCTGGTGTCGTTGCCAGCACCATCCTACCTAGCTCTCACTTTCTCGTCGCCTCCGTCACCACGGGCATCAGCGGCAACAGCAAACATCATCATCACCACGACAACCTTACCGGAGCAAAAGGAGTACCAGTCGTTTTACATCCATGAGTCGAACCTAAGCCAGCCTGATGCGGTACCACCTCTACCTTGGCATCTACGAGGGGTTTAGGGTGACTATTGTGAACTCACCCTAAAGCCTAAACCCTAGACCCTAAACCCTGTTGTTGTTTGTTGTGTGAGCCTTCAAACTTTGAGTAGCTCCAGCCCAGCACCCCTCCTGCAGTGACTCCGAAAACCCCCAATTCGGCTCAGTCTACCGTGCAGCCGCCTCGATTGATGCAGCCGGGGCCTGCAGTGCTTTAGGGTGCAGGGTTTAGGGTTTAGAACCCTAAACCCTAAACCCCTAAACCCCTAAACCCCTAAACCCTAAAAGGGTTTAGGGTTTTGGAATCTATCTCGGGCCCAAGATGATGAGTAGGTATGGGTCGTTTTGTAAATGAGGGCCCCGTTTTAGGTCTCCAAACATAGTATGTACGGCACCCTTATAAAGAAAAGGACCCCCCAAAATGGCGAGGAGATCAAGAAAGGTTTAGGGTTTAGGGTTTAGGGTTTAGGGGTGCGGGTACCTCGATCTTGGCGATGTTGTGAGACGTCGGCTCTTTAGTTCCATGTGCCCCAGTTCGGAGAGTTTCCCACGGGACCCAGAGAAGCCGATACCCTTTAATTCAGGAATATGCCTCAAAACTTGAGATTAAGGCCCCAATAGTTTAAGGTATATTCCTTCATTTAAGGTGTATTGGGTTCTCTGTTGACTCCTGGATTTCAGTGTCGAGGGGCTTAAGCCAGAGAACCCAATACACCTCAATTAAGGAATCTACCTTAAATTATAGGGGCCTTAATATTATGAGTTCAAGGCCCCGGGTGTTCAGTACGAACCCAGGGGTCCACATCATAGATCAGAACTCATTGTGAGCCCGATTAAACCCGAAACCTACGGTTAATGATATCCTGCATGACCCACAACAAGGAATATACCATAATTCCCATAGTTTAGGGTCCTTAAGGTAATGCAGGCTTTATATCATCAGCAGTAGAGGATTTGCTTCCTGCCGAAAATGCGCCGAGCTTCGGCCAAGAACGGGCTCAAAACCTTGAACCCTGAATTGTCGGATCTTGACTGTACCAACCTCTAGGAGTCGCAATAACTATTGGATAACTAAAGTTTAACTAAAGTATCAATATAACATACCCCACAGCTGTTGTAATTATTAAGGCCCCGATACTAAGCTAGTTCCCCGAAGCTCCATTGTACGGGGAGGAGCTGGGCACAAAACGACAGCGGATTGAAAGAAGATAGGGTTTTAAGCTTTGGGGACTGTGCCCGCCGAACGAAGCCCTAGGTCGTACTTAGCTCCTGAGCCCTAAGCCCCTAGAAGTTCGTCAGGCAAAGAGCTCAGAGAAGTCTTTGACTGTCGGTCATGTGCAGCACAGGGCCTCATGCCATCAGATTCATGGTGATGCTGTCGCCGCTGATGATGATGCTTGCAACAGATGGTGGCGGTCAGGATGAAGTGGCTTCTGATGATGGTGATGACAACGATGACAGCGAGTGCGCTGACCAGAAGGCCTCGACAGTTTTTCGAGCATGTCCGCGTCTTCGCAGAAGTGTGACGTCGGTGCTCTCACAAGGCCATGCGCCTGACGAAGCGACCCCAACGGCCAGCAATGACAGTCCTGAGGGATCGGTAGGGCAGAGGGTGGCGCCCAGGGCTTTTTGTGAGGTGGAGGACCCAGAGAACCCAATTTACTTTTTTTTTTTGAGGAATATATACCTTAAAGTATATAGGGGGCCGTAATATTATGATTCAAGGTATATACATTCCTTAATTAAGGGGTATATTGGGTTCTCTGATTTACGGGGTGTCTTGCAGTTTGCAGGGGCTTCTGGAATACATGTACATAATAATATATATATATATACACACACACACACACATATATATATATATAGAATATAGTGTACTTTTATTAGGGACTTTCCGTGGTCTCACTGCGCTGCCTTTTCTCTCGGCCCAACTCCCAGGAGTCTCGCCTTTTTTGCAAGCTCTCTTGGAATTCGGAGCGGCTGCTGTTTCTAGAACCTTTAGGGTTCTCTTAAGGCACAATAGCTAGGTTACATCTTCATATCAAAGCCTTGCCCCAAATCTAAATGGTAGACCCCAGGCCCTAAACCCCAAATCCCTTTAACTCCACACCTCGAACGCCGCAAACCCCTAAACCCCAAACCCCTCAAGCCCCAAAAGCCACTCCCCAAAAGCCGTACCGTGTTGCCAAAACCCTGCACCCTAAACCCTACACCCCCAAAACCGTAAAGCATTGCCTTGTTTCTCTCTTGGGTTGACGGGCCAACCCAGAGACCCAGAGAGACCCAGGTACCCCTGAAGCAATCATACTCGTCTCTGGAAGTAATCGGGTTCAGGGTTTAGGGTTTAGGGCCGTTATAGAAGCCTCCCAGAGAACCCAATACCCCTTAATTAAAGAATATACCGTAAATCACAATAATATTACGACCCCTATAATCAGGGGAAATCCCTTAATTCAGGTGCATTGAGAACTATAATGATTTAAGGAAGATTCCTTAGGCGAGGGATACTTCTCTGAGAATGCAGCCACGACCCCAGCAAATTCAGCGAGCCCGGCTGCTGAGGCTGAACCGATTCTTGGGCTTTGGGGCTGAGGCTTTAGAAGGGATGGATGAGGTTTCTGTAGGCTGTTATAAATTGTTCTTTGGGCTTATGAGGGGCTGTACAAGGGTTTCGTTTCTTCAGGGTTTCGTGTGGTTGTATGGGGTATCGCGTGTCTTTGATGTGATTTCAAGTTCCTAAGCCGAGAGGGGGCTGAGGGGAAGGTCGAACACGGTTGACCCGAAAGATTACTTAAAGGCCCACGGGACTTAGTATGTAAGGCTATAAGCAAGGTTGTACTGAGGATGTCCCTACACGTTCCCCAATTACAACCCTACTTGTTAAGTCCTTGGAGCCCTTACCCAGATAACCCAATACCCCTTCATTAAGGAATATACCCTAAATCATAATATTGAGGTTATTAAGGCCCCTATAATAATTGGGCTCTCTGGGTAAGTATCCGGAAAGAAGCAAAAGCCTCAGCGGTTGCGGCTCGCCGCCTCTTTTGCTGCTCGGTGAAAGGCCGAGGACTTGCATATGACCCCAAAGACACGAGGCGAATAATGTAGGTGTCGAAGACCCAGTAATACCCTTCCTTGAGGTTCCTTGTTATTGCTAGAAAAACCCTAAACCCTAAACCCTAAACTCTAGACCCTAAACTCTAAACACTAAACTCTAAACCCTAAACACTAAACTCTAAACCCTAAACTATAAGATGCCCCGACTAACCGTCGTCTTCTCCAGACCTCCATCTTCGTCCAGATCTCCTGCGTCCGCGTGCCGTGCCGAAGCAGCCACGCGGTGCTGTGTTCGCGTTTGCCGGCGGGCCAGCGAGGCTTGAAATTCGTAGAGCTGGGGGCCGGTCCATGCAAGACTCGCCTTCCTTTCCAAGGGCAGGAGCAAGTCACACCCCTGACAAGCTTGGGGGGCCAGACTCCAACTCAAACTAAAGTGAACATGCAGGGGCTAAGAAAAGCCCTAGATTCCATGGTTGGCATCAACGTTTCAACAGCAAGGGTGGCAATGCTAGCAGTCTCGCGGCAACGCCAGAACCTCACAGTCAGAGCAAGCGTCGCAAGCCACAATCCAGCTCAAGAACCCAGAGACTCCAAAATCCCTTAAAAAAGGAATATGCCTTAAACCATAATCGGATCCCTAAGAGAGTTTAAGCTCTATTCCCTAATTAAGGG